TCAGACGTTAAAATAATGTTCAGCATTGGGGTGTGCGATAGACTTACCTCCATGTGGTGCACCTTGGGCAATGTATACACATACGGCAAAAAAGTCCATTAACTGGCAGTTGACTTCTGGCTTCAAACTATCATGACCCCACTGTAAGTCATATTCGTCCCCTTTCACAGTACTCATCTTACCTTTTATCTGCCTTTGGGTCTGTCTCCTTTACATCTGTGAATCATTATTCTGTCCCCCTCCCTTTCGACTTTTTGTCACTTCGATGCTCCTCCTCCTCTCTGTGAAGCCCGAAGTCAGCTAAATCGCTAATTATAACTATCAAAACGCCTGTCATTTGAAATAAATAAATGTTCAACACCTGTGTAATTTTTTACTTCATTGTTTACGTTATGGGTCAATGTACGATGCAAGAAAATACATATTTTTCGGAATTCCTCTAATAATGATTGTGGAAGTATTCGAGCACACAGCACATTATTTTTTTGTGATTTTAAGACTACATTTCTCAGGCAAATGCCTCAATTTGCCATATTAAATGTAAAAGTATTTCCCATGATGATTGCAACGATGGCGTGTATGACTGCCACACTAAGAGCGGGCACAAATTGTAGGATTAGTTAAGATTAAATAATTAGGAAATTAAGAATAAGTTTTTAAATGGGGTCATTCATCGTTGTAATTTCATGGGAACTGCCAAGAAATTTGGAAGGGAATTTATCTCGACAGTTGTGGGTATATGGGGAAGCAAATGTAAATTGGTGGGAAAAGCACTTGATATTTTCAACTTTTTTTTAAAGCTGATTACGTTTTGCATTGTATCCCCAGTAATTCCAACCTTCTTAGTTCCATATTCACCACCTAATTCAATTCCTCCCTATGGGTATAAGTGACTTAAAACCTCGCTTCCCCCACCCGCCCCCCCCCTTATTTGCATAAAAGAATTAAAGACAAGTGCCTGATTGTATGCACTTTGAAAGACTAGTACCTGATGAAGTTTGAGGCAACATTGTTTTTCGTAAGACTTTTATGAAAAGAATGCTCAAATGCTAAGCCTTTATCTCTACGAGGAAAGAAACTAAGTGACTGCTAATAGCGTTTCTGCGAATATATAATTTTTCTAAATTTGAATCCATTCGGGGGGTGTTTGCATGCTTCCACCTTCGAGAGAGAATTTGAATTGTTTTGTGAAATACGAAATCACGAATCGTTTTAACATCATAAATAATGTGAGTAAATAACACCTCAATTTTGGCTCTTGTGGAGTGTGTTGATTTCAGGAGAGAAATTACCAAAGTTCTCAACTCGTTTCCTTTTCCCAGAAGATATTATTCAGGTATTAACCGAACTTTGTGTCTAAGTCGTAAATTTGAATCGGCAGATGTAAATTTTATATTTAAACAAACGCCCAAATCGGTCAATAAAGTAGCGTAGTTGAAATACACCTTTTAAGGAGTTGTCTTTTGTTGCAGAACAATTAGTTGAAATAAATAAGAATAAATTTGAACAAAGCATGCTATTGAATGATGAATTATGAAGATATATTATGATTACGCATTGGTCAATTTGAGGTCGATTAAATTTAGAGAATCAATTTATTTTTGGCTTACAGATGAAATTGGGTGTGAGGAGGGATAAGTAATTCCTTCAAAATAATTCAATTACTTATTTTAACTTATATCAAGGAGGGAGGGGGATAAATTATCCCTTATAAATATTAAATTAAATAAGTTTACAATATTAAAATGAATTCTGACTAGGGTAACAAACAGTAGAAACCCATCGGAGTATTTAATCGAAGTTCAAAATTACGAGAGGTATTCAATTTTTAGATTAAATTGGCGTTTACGATCTAATAAGAGGCACAGTTATTAATGAACCCCATTAAAAGACATTCTATATTTCTACTGAGTCTTGTGCTGCTAACATTGTTAAATTCCACGAGAATGTGCAATAGCAAAATATTATTCTGACTCCATCCACAGTTCATCCAATTTTTGTTACTTGCTTAAGGGCAAGTGCACCCAAGAAAAGCCAAAATGAATTAACAATAGACACGGTTTCGACCAGTATTCAAATAAGTAATTTCTCCCAAATAACCAAGTGCTAAGAGGTGCACGAATGTTGCGCGCAAGACAGCAATCGCTTTAGGAAAACAAGCCCCGAAAACCGATATTATCACTCTTAACTACCCACTGCGACCAATACTGCTGTGACGAGACGGATTGGGCTGATGATGTCGATGCTAGCAATTCTACCAAGTAAAATAACCCACAATGGGAAGACGCAAAGGTTGCGAGCAAAATGAACTGCTTACGCGCAAGTACGTGCATATTACCTCCGTCCAGTGGTGATGATGATTCAACATTGGTCAAAAAAGGATAAAGACAGCAGAAAAGCGAAGGCGAATTCACTTTCGAATTACGAAAATTGGCGAGTAAAAATTGGAGTGTTTCATTTTATAATATTTCATGAATGGCATAAAATTCCCTTTCGCGATTTAGATTTAGTCATTTTTTCTGCTAAAGAGACCAAATTATACAGCCAATCAGAGTATTTAAATACTTAAGAGATGGCAAAATGGAAGTTGGTTTGTAAGTACTTCAAGAATAACTATGAATTTATTGCTTATGACGCTTATTAAAACAGTTTTGAATGAAACAACGAATACTATTATTTCGAGGTATATTTAGTGCATTTAAGCTAAAACAATATCTTTTTTTGGGGTTTGTATTTTAATTTGCTTTAACAATCCTATTTAAGGCGGTTCTAGTTGAAACATTTCTGCTACTTAAATGAAAGTCGTGTGGCATTATGTAAAATTTAGTTATGAAGAACATCAATTAGAACAAATGACTAAGAAATTTCAAATGGTATTCCTAAATTGTAAAAATACTTGAGGTAATTAAAAATTGGTATTTATAAAAGGTACGATAATTTTGTCGAGTAGGCAATATGCAACCATGTGGTGCACTTTTGATTTCAATCATGTCATAAAATACTCAAACCTTCATCATCCGCATAGCAAAATGGAAGCAAGATTTTGCACTAAAATGGCACAAAAATGAATTCTTTTCAAGGTGACCTTGAATGCGGAATAATTTTGTCAAAATGGCACATAGGCGATAAGAATTTAAAGCATAATTTTATTTTTCTTCAGCGAGATACCTAATTAAAATGCTTGGCATGAGAAATAACCAACAATTAACTAAACAGCGAAATATTTCTTTGATTGAATCGTTTTGCAGACACACCTTTTCCCTCACAAATTAACGCTACCCAACGCTCTGCAAACTTAATTTAACTGAGAAGAGGAAAAAGGGCCGCCCCAGTGAAGAGGTATGCTGAAGTAATTCAATTGAAATTTGGTGACATTTACGTAGCCTTTAGCAAAGAGGATAGGTAAGTCATGATTATTACTTATTGCTTCTCTTGACAAATACAGAAAAAATAAACTTCGTGGTCAATTTTCCCGCTTCCTGTCTGCTAAGAAAACAAGTGGTGCGGTGCTCTAGATGTACCCTATTTATTTATTTCTTCATTCATTAATTTCTAAATAACGATAGGGAAGGTGAAATTAGCAAGGAAACTGTGAGGGGTGAATTTCCATCTTCTAATGGTAGAAGCGCTAACCGACACGGAATCTACATTGAGCAATTGCTATGAATAAATAAGCTACATCGCAACTGCCGGAAAGAGGGGGGGGGGAGGGTTTCTCATGCAAAAGCGTAGTTCGACATTAATTGATATATTAAATTAGCTTTTATTGATTCGCAGATTGCGGTGGAAAAAGTGTGTTAAACTTCAGGGTATTCAGATCGAGTTTGACGTACCAATGATCAGTATCGATCTCCTGATTTAGCGGAATATCGCACTTAAAGGGAGCAGATTGTTGAGATAACGAAAGAAGAGCCTGTTCTGAGATTGCCTTCTCAATAAACGGATTAATTTCTGAAGGTGAATTGTTGGAAGACTCGGTTTCACGCTGGCAAGTTGGGGCCGACTTCAATGAAAAAGTTGCAGCGGCTGCGGCTGCAATAAATGCATTAGAAGGGAAAACAGCCCATGGATTGGATAGAAGAGAGGTTGCCTGTTCCGTAATGCTGCTAGAAGGATAGTCTCTCGGAAGGGAATTGGCTCTCATGTCAAAATTTAATTGAAAACCGGCGTTTTGAGCTTGTAACTTGTTCAATAGACGAACTGCAATTTCCTGCGTGGTTGAATACTCCACTGTAGAGGGAAAATTTACGGGATCTTGCATAATCAAACCGAAAGAAGACAGGATGCAAAAGTGTGGCTGTCAAATGATGTTTTTTTTGTAATTGGAAGCTGGCAATCTTCAGAACCGAAAAGAGGGGCAAGATTGGAGATGTACACTCGTCTGAAAAGGAAAATCGGATGGCCAACACACGCGTTGTCTTGTGCATATCTCTCGAAGTAACTATGTGCTGAAAGCACCAATCAGACACCGGTATTGGATGTGCGTACTCCTTTCATTGCGTGTGTGCGCCCCCAAGCAAGGAAGTGATTGATCTTACAATGCAGAAACCATTGGGTGATTTCAAAATGGCGAATGGTGACAATTCCTACTTCATGAGATTTCACTCTGTTGTGCTCTTTAATTATTCTTAATCGACTGTGATTTTTCCTTCGATTATATATTATTAATTGTAAGCGAATTCTCTCCAAGAGCTCTAGTAAGTGTATCATCTAATCAGACTTGTCTGTCTACAGTCAGGCGGTACTTTTACACGAACTGCGTATGCTAAATATAATAATTTTATCCACGAGAATGCATTTGGCCATTCTTCGAAACAATGTTTCAGCTCCTCAACATTGCATTATTAATTTAGGTACCTTTCTATAGTTAATATTTTTAAAATTTTATTTTTTTTTCGAGGGATTTAAAGAGGATGCATCCTCATTTATGCACTCTTCTGCATAACATAACAGATTTTAAATGGCTTATAGTAATAACCCTTGATTAACTTGGCCTGAATAATTAAAGGAGAGTATCCTGAACCACCTTAAACGAGAAGCTCTCATTCTTACAACCTTCTTCTTGAATTTGATCAACCAATAAGGTTGACCATAACCCTCACTGAATACACACTCATGAGTAACCAACAGATATCAACCAATATACCACTAGCATAGCTTTAGAGACCACACAAAGAACTCCCATTAAGACCCGGCTACCTGTCTTCGCATTGATCCAATCATCAGAAATTGACAGTGTATATATTAAGCTGAACAAATACCCAGAATTAATTTCTTTGGGGAATTCTGAACCTAGCTGAAGAAGTAAGGCTGTTTCATAGCCATTTGTATGTACTTGACAGCCTTTCAAATTTACACAATCAAACACAGTTGAATTGATGTGAATGACCATATGGGAGCCATATTATATTGACAAATTTTCTATTGTTTCGCAACAAGTAAAAATATAACAGGTTATAGAAGTGCTTTAATTTCACATTTTTGTACGAGTTAAACAATATATATTAATCTTTAAGGTCGAAAATATTTATTCCTGTTAAAAAATATGCTTTTGGGTCGATTGGGCGATGGCATTCAGGCTTTCAAAAACTTTTGCCCGATGACATTTGGCATCTCATTAAATTAAAGATGTCATCAATTAAAGCTAAGGAGTGATAAAGATGACAATTTAGTGCAGATATTACAATGTAGATTAATTGTTGCTAGATTAATTGTTGCCTAGACGAATTTTAGAGAGTGTAAACAATCAGTTGAAAGTGAAAGGAACTTGGAGCAGACATCGACAGTTATATTGTAACGAAATGGGGTGTGTGATAGACTTACCTCCAAGTGGTGCACCCTGGGTAACGTATACTCATACGGCAAAAAAGTCTATTAACTGGCAGTTGACTTCTCACTTCAAACTACCATGACCCCACTGCATGTCATATTCGACTGCTTCCCCAGTACTTACCTCACCTTTTTTCTACCATTGTGTCTGTCTCTTTTACATCTTTGAAACACTTTTCTGTTCACCTCCTCCCTCTTGACTATTTTTTCATTTTGATGTTCCTTCCCTCTATGAAGCCTGAAGTCAACTAAAGGGCTAATGATAACCATCAAAAAGCCTGTCATTTGATATAATAATAAAAATAATAATATTGTAACGGGATTCATCAAATCTACCTATTTCAAGTTGATCTAAACTCATAATTATCCGAGGACTTAACCTGGATGCCAAACAACTTATTTAAAAATACTGTCATGTTGAATGACTAATTGGTTTCACTTCGATGCTTAAACATCTTATCAAATGCTATTTTTGAAGGTCTATTTGTATTTATACTAAATTTGGCATTCCACACAGTATAGAATTTTATTTCCAAACATTTGTGCGTTATCTAATGCATGTTTTATTCAAAAAACTTTAAAAAGTTTATTCGTAGACGAAAAAAAATTCACGAAATTAACACATTGATGAACTTGAGAATGAACGAAATTCCACAAATTTCACATAACTTGAACGCAACGACATTTGTGTTGTTTTAAAGACAAATAGCAGCCGTTTCAAAGAATACTTTGTGTGCCATATTTACGATTGGCTAATACGCACAAAGTGCGTGGTATTTTTCTAGTGAAAGAGAAGGACATGGAATTTACTGTCGGGTACATGTCAACGTTATTGGTGCAATTCCGGGGACCTTCGGGGAACACTCTTGTCGTGACTAATTCATCTAGCGTAGGGTGTGGTTATTCATTATCAAGAACAAATTAAAACTGTAACATTTATATTCTGTAAGACGGGGTACGCGATGGACTTACCTCCACGTGGTGCACCCTGGGCAACGTATACTCACACCTTACCTCCACGTGGTGCACCCTGGGCAACGTATTCTCATTCGGCTTACCTCCACGTGGTGCACCCTGGGCAACGTATACTTATATGGCAAAAAGTCTATTAGCTGACAGTTGCCTTCTGACTTTAAGCTACCATGATCCGACAGTAAGTCATATTCCACTACCTCCACGGTACTCACCTCACCTTTGTCACCGCCTTTGTGTCTGTCTCTGAATCACTCTTCTGTCCCCCCCCCCTCGACGTTTTGTGACTTAGATGTTCCTCCCCTCTGTGAAGCCCAAAGTCAACTAAAGGGCTAAAGATAATTATCATAAATCCTGCCATTTAACATGAATAAATATTCTTTAAGACAGTTAATGCCTTTATGACTATGGCAAAAGTATCATAGCAGTGTTAACACTCCAATCTTTTAATTTTATGCAATAATTTTGCCTTTAGTTCATTCAAACCAAACGAAATGGGAAAAAAGCGCTTTCACTGAAAAGGAATGACTTGCTGGAAGAGAAGAGAATAGGGGAAAGGTAATTTGATTCAACCCAGTGGTTTTTAGGCAAATACCACATACCAAACACAATTTTTGCAGTAATTTCGACAATTTTTGGCATTTGCTTGCAGTGGGGTCTGCACCAGTAGAAATTTTATGGCAGAAAAGAAGGCGAAATAGCAATTGAAAGAATTTTAGTATTCAAGCACATACACGCACCCACAAACACACTGTCACAAGAGAGGTGGCGAGTAAAGAATGCGCACCAAAACACGTGTTTGTTGACGGTGAGTCAATTTGCACGAAGGAATTAGACGATGTGGTGGTGGGTGCGTGTATGTGCTTGAATACTAAAATTCTTTCAA